GGTTGCGCGAGGTCAAGGTTGCAATCCTCGAAAAGGTAAAGTGTTTCTGTGCCCAAAACTCGGCATTGTTGTGGTGAATAATGTGGCTCATTAGTATCAAAATATCACGTGGAGTCCTTGCTTTTTATTCGTTTTACATAGAATTTATTTGTAGGCACATCCCAGGGTGCGTTCAGGTGGTTCAATTCTTTAACGGAATTGAATGGAGCTATCCATGATAGTTGCAGATGTCGCAGCTCGAATGTGCACGGCAAAGGTCCTACGGCCGTTCCAAGAACGCTTCTGTTGTGTTTTTCCTCTTTCGCAAAACGCCGGTGTCTGCACTCTCTCATCTGTCGTGCTCTCTCGCCTGTCCTCTCTTCACCCTGCGCAGTGTCTCAACACTTTCTTAATCTTAATCTTTGATTTTGACGTTTTCGATGGACTCTTATCCATTTTACGTTACCACCGGTTCACTTCGCAGCACTGCTTTCAATTTCGTACGCGATAATCACACCAATTTCATTGTGCAAGATACCTTTGAGTGCAAATTCAATTCCATGATTTTAGCCATGGCCAGTTTTCGTAACCTCTCAATTTTCTTCCAAACACTCTAGCAAATGAAAATAACTTATAAATTGTTTATTTGAAAGACTCCGAATTTCACCATTTTTTGGCGATCTACTTCCACGAATTTGAGCCTTTCATAGTTCCGTGCCCATTTTGGAGTACTGGTGCCAACTTTTTCTGAAGAGCTTATTTGTGATTTGCGTTTAATTTACCGCCATTTCAGGTGTAAGGACTGGCTGGAGATCTATGATGTGTTCCATGAAGGCGCTGAAGAACGTCTTGCATTACGAGGTATTTTTAACCACAAGAGTGATTTTACTATCTGTTGGTTCCATGGGAAAACGATGTAGCCAACCTTCAGAACGCTACTGCTCGGACACTTTTCCCGGCCCAACGGTGTCCGCTTTTGGCGCTCATTCGATGCGTGTCATCTTCAGTTCGGACTCGACCGGTACTGGGAACGGCTTCAAGGCCCTCTACGAGATTCGGCCGGCTGCTAAAGAGGACATTCCCACACACGGTGCGAAAAGTCTTTTCATTATATCCAGCGTTTCCTATTAATAATACAAAATCTCCGTAGGCACGAGGCGGCGATTGGTTTGATCCATTCTAAGAAGAGGTGCATTAATGGTAACGTGTTTAGTTACTCTAGTCATTTGGTCCATAACCTTGGTTGGTAGGACAACAGCTGAGACATCAGCCGCGCCCTTGCAACCCGCACGCACCCGTCGCCAATACGCGATGCCTATGATTCCGCATTAAGGAACAGCACAAAGTGTCATTTCAGAAACGAAAGAACCAAAAGGTGAAGGAGCGTATCGATGTGGACGACGGATTAGAGCCAGTGCTACAACTCCTACTGGTTATGTAATGTCACCCAATTACCCTATCAAGTATAATAAGGACGTGCATTGTGATTGGGAAATAGCAGCCAGGGATGGGCATAAGGTACGGTTCAATCTGTTTTATTCTACTTATGTTAGATAATTTTTATTATTTTGCGTTCAATGCTCTTACTCCCTTCTCGATGAACCCTCAGCATGTTTAGTGATTGGATGGTGTAACTTTGTCCATGTCAGGAATCCAAAAATGAACCGGAGGGAAGAATGCCTGTCAATTACGCGGGAGTTAGCCCCATATATAAGCCTGGCTTTCCAACCCGGTACCCTGAATACGGTCCACCCGAAGTCTTACTGTACTGTGCTTGTCGTTGGCTGATCCAGTGGATCTGGTAAAAGGTACGGTGTTTCTTCTCCCTTGTGATTACGTGATGATTAGGTGGTCGTCGAAGATCTAGTAGGTGTGTGGAGATTTTTGGTCGGATACTCATAAACTCGACTTCCATCCTTTTAGGCTCCGAAGAAGGCGAACTCGCCGAAACGTTAAGCCAATAAACTGTCAGTATCAACCTCGTGTGCAGTTCAACAAAGCTATACCATCCAATTGGTGAGTTCCTTTTTGTATTCCGAGTATGTGGCACAGTAATTGATAGGAGCCTAAACAATACTCTTTCTTGCTTTGAACCCGAACGCGGCCGGCATCGTCCTATAAGGGGCCATATTGTATTGTGTGGCCAGAGGAGAAGCGCACCTCGCACATCCGCTAGATCGTCTTTTTTGGCAAAAGGCCTAAAATTACGATTTGTATGACCACGCTGTATTAGAAAATTTTTGATTAGTCCAATAGAAACGACGTTGTATTGTTCAGATTCTTCTTACAATGGTAAAGATGGAAATTGAAGGGGAAATGTCCGCCACCACTGCTAGCTGTCAGAAGGTAGGGAAACTCTACCACGCATCTTTCTCACTCTGTTTTTTTCTCGAGCTTTTTTATTTTTTCCACTTCTACTAATTTAACTAGAAATATTTAGCGCTGGAATTACCATTTCTATAGCTGATGTGTTTAGGCGGTCATTCGGGTATCCGGAGCGCCTCGACCAGAGTACTGCGGTACGGATCAAGGAGTATTCACCCCATTGGTCACCAAAAACAACTCGGTTCGAATCAGGTAACAACCACCTGTTATTGAGAGCAATATACCCTCTTATCGGGCTCCTTAAAGCAACCCCAGAACTGAATTTGGAAGGTTATAACTAACCAAAGAGTGGAGCAGAGAGAAATAGCGCTATACGTTTTGGACTCACAGCGAAAGAGAAAGGAAAAATTCGCTACAAACACTGAAAACGAGGCCACTTTTTGCGGTAGTTTCCGGGACAAACATTTTAAGAGACCTTTACTGTGCGTGAACTGTACAAGTTGTAAGTTGATAGCTGCCAGGAGACATCATGGAGTTATTCTTCGAACAAACAACAATATTGACAGTATAAACTTCATGTAGGGCGGTACGAGACTTGATATTTCGATGATGCCAGGAGACACGGGGGCCTAGGCGAACGAATAGATTCCCCGGCGAGAGAGCACAGGGACAGGCGAGACGCAGACGTCAACGCTTTCATAACGGTGGAGGCGCACATATACGTGAGATGTGCATGAATTCAAGGGCTTTGTTTCACTCGTTCCGACTTCTTGAGAATGGGAGATCCTTCTGCTGCATGAGCTGCTTAATTTATAGGAGAGGGTGTTCACCAGTGGACTAAGAGCAAAATATTTCTTTGAGGTCAAGAAAAAGAGTGCTCCTGCTCATGAGACAAAACCCAGATTTCATAAGGTGTCACGCTCCAAAATGCAAGCTTATGGGAAGTAGGGATGAAAATTCGGCTTCTTACGAAATCTATTCAGAAAATTGTTAGGAAATTCCAACGTTGGCTCTGGCTGTCTCTAGTACTGTTGACTAACTGACGGAACAGGTGTTAACAAGAAAGTCAACATAAACAAATAAGCTTGCTTTCGCCGCTAGGTCCCATAAACAGATCCGAAAGCGCAAACAACTGCAGGCAGCAGAAGACCATTCCAGAATTAGAGCTCTTTGATGGGGAGATTCACCAAACACGCTCCTTTTTTGCAGCATTCCTAATTTCCTAGTTCTTCATCACCACCACCTTGACATTGTCTTTACCCACATTTTTCGAAAAAAAAATCGTCGACCTAAGGAGAAACAGGAATGGACAGATAACTGTTCTAGAACAATGGAAACAGTTCTCACTTCTTTTCCGCCCCCACTTTCACGATACTAAATAACCTTCTGGAAAATAAAACCCCTTTTGTGGTTCTAGCCACTATCAGCAGGTCAACTCTCACATTAACCATATGACTGAGATTTTCTCAACAAACGTTGTGAACCCATTGACCTACGCCCCTTTTTTATTGATGTCAAGTCTTATTCTATGGCATTTCAGCTTTTTGACCAGTCCCGACAAGGTAAACGGATTGAAGGGATTCAATATGAGCTGGACTGAAGTGCGTGAAGTGAACGGTGACTCAGCGACTACTTCATATAGAAAATTCTTCAATGGAACGATTTTTAAATTCAGAAATGAGCGAGTGTTCGTCTTCGTCTGAGTATATGTGCACTTACTCTAAACTATGCATTAGTTCCATGTTACGGTGCAATGGTGACGCGAACTGTGGACATCAGGACGACACCGATGAAACCCATTGTAGGTTGCCGACAGGTCGCGAAGGCTTTCGTATAGAAGCCGAAAATTAGTTGAAACCAAGTTTAGCGTTTTTCGCGGTTTAATAAAGACATATTAAATTCTTCAGCAAGATTATAAATCGCGCAATTCATCCGTAGCACAAGCGAGGGGCCGCGAGGCGGTTGGCAGGTAGATCTGCCAACGTGCACGAGTTTGTGGAGCGAAATGTTGGAAATCAAAAAAAAAACTCATGAGGACAGGGTTTCAAATAGTCTATTTGACTGGTGCGGACTCTACAGTACGAGGTGAACTGCGGCACTAAATTCCTATTACAACCCCAAAATCTCAAAATTTTATTTTTCGTCGAAACTTGTCTATAGGGGTAATTCGGTGCCCTGAGTTACGAAAATGACATCCATTTTCAACGGGGGCGCCATCTGGCGCCAGGTGGCGTCACCTTGTCACGACAGTTGTTTTCACCAAACTCGATGTAAACTTCTGGGTAGGGGTAATTTGGTGTCCAGATTACGAATATGACATTCATTCTTGGCGCTAGCTCCATTTAGCGCTTTAATCTCTTCGTCTGCGCCCTCCTAGTGACTAGATCGCGATCAGGACTAAGCTTTAGGAGAGAGAAAGATATCAGTGAGTGAGCCCTCTACCCTGTGATCTCACACGCTCCATCTTCGTCACACGGTGCCTGATTCACTCATTCCGAGTCTCCCTATCCCCTAAGCTTAGTCCCAAGGCGCTATGTATAGGTGAGAGAGCCCAGAAAAGCGGGAATTATGCGGTAAACAGCGGTCATGTCAAAAACGAATGTCATATTCGTGATCAGGACATCAAATAACCCCTATACAGAACTTTACACCGAATTTGGTGAAAACATGTGTCGTGACAAGGTGGCGCCAACTGGCGCCAGATGGCGCCACCGCCAAAAATGAATGTCATTTTCGTAATCAGGGCACCGAATTACCCCTATAGAGGAAGTTTCGACGAAAAATAAAATTTTGAGATTTTGGGGTTGTAATAGTTGAATAGTGCCAGACCTGCTTTGCGCTCTCGCTTTATATCAATAAACAGCACGGTCGTCTCCAATTTTTTTTCAGTACTAGTTGAATAAATAGTATGAATATCATTGAGATAAAGGGCAGCAGTTTAGCCGTCTAGCTTAGCATCGAAACTTGTCTTGCCATCGCAAAAAACTCCGCATGAGCATTTCATAGAAATCATTGATAATCTTGAAGGACAAAATGTCTCTTGCAAAAACGTTTCATGTTGCATGAGTATTCATAAGTCCGGTGTTGCATTCCCAGTGTTTACCAATCCCCGTCGCGCGCGATTGCGTTGCGGTATTGATGCCTACGGCTCGAGTTTTTTGTTCAAGGAACCAATGAGCTATCGGTGGCCACTAGTGAAGAAAAAACG